TAGAAATTGTCTATGTTTAGGGCTATCCTTTGAATTGAGACTTGAATACCTGTTCTTAAGAACTGTAATTCTTTTTTCAGAGAATCGGCTGAGTCCAGGTGGAATATAAATCTCAGAGCATTCAATAGCACAAAGGAATTATGATTTCAATGGCTGTCACAAGGTGTCAACAATTGTATCATTGCCATATGAAAATACTTACCGAAGCACGTTCAATGTGAACTCCTGGTAGGATCAGCACACTTCCAGAAGCACATAGGCACAAAATATCAATGAGATCTTAAAAATAGAATGCATATTTTTTATTAGGCATGCACTTTCATATTTCGAAAGTAAGCTAAAAAAAGTGGCAATATGCATCAAAGAATAAAATTTTTTTCAAAGAAGAATGTTCAAGTTGTTGATATGGAACTCAGCACTGTGTTCAAATTTGAAAAGTGATGCTTTTGTACTTAAGGGCAAAGGGCAAAACCCTTTTTTTCCCTAAGTAGTATTATTTCCCCTAAGGTAATATTATTCATTGTGTCCACTAGGTTATGGTCAGTGCAGTGTCCATGTCCACCGCTGTCAAATTGGGCTTGGCTGGTAATCACTGTCTCTTGCATTGTCTTAAATGAATATGATCAGTTTGAAATGGGTAAAAAGAAGTGTGGGTATCTGGATCATGAGTTCAAGTTCATTCAAGTGTGCTGTATGAGGTACACAGGTATGAAGCACAGTTAAGTAAAGATTCACTCAACTAAAAGAACAATTCACGAGGAATAGATATGACAAAATTATTTTCCTATTTGTGTACCAAAGTACCATGGAATTGAAGAAGTCCATCTCTTATAATGCTGCTAATAGAATTTTCATGAAATTTTATTAGCAATGTCTTAAAATACTTGTTTGAATAATAGTTTGTTTAAAAAAAAAAAAAAAAAAACCACAAAACAAACAATCAAAAAACCACAATGGATTGTAAACGATGCAGAATTGGGACAGAATTGACTGGCATACTTTTTTTATCCACAGAACATAAGTGGCAGGAGAGTAATCTTCCCCATCCTACATCCCCCAGCTGTGTGTCTCATCCTTAACCTGAATACACCACTACAAAGGATGAGGGAGCTGTAATAGTTTACTCTGCATTCCCATTCACTTGTTGACCTCTTTCCTAAAATCTGCTTGCTTATAGCTAAATTAGAGCTCCACTGAAGCCGACAGGTTACATTCTGCCGCTGCTGAAAGCATGATCTCTATTCAATGAGGCTGAGTTAAATAAAACAATAAAAAAAGAAGGTAAAGAAACATGCATTGAATGTTTGCATAGAAGCTAATCTGAAAGCACGTGGGAAGATAAATAGTACCAAGAGATTACTTGCAATGACTAAAGAGAATTTGGAGCTGAAACAGAAAGACGAGAGTTCATACATAGTTTTTCCCCATTCTCCTGTTGCAGAGCTTTCTTTGATGTAGAGAAGACTTTTAGGTTATGGTATCTTCCTTCTCTTAAGTGCAGGGGCATTGGTAGTATTTCTTTAACTGCAGCAGCACACACAGAATTCCATGTTCTTTGGAGATCTTACTAGCTAGGGGTTCTCTAGACTGGTGGCACTTCGAAGAAGTCTGCAGTCAATCTGTTACAGCAGGTAGAATGCTGTGGGACATTTTGGAGCCCCTAAATATAGTACAGAGAAGGTGACAATAATTATAAAAGGTACAGCATGCATGTTCTTTTGCTGCTTTGATTGCCAGCAGTGGAGGAAGGCAGTGGGCTTTCTCTCTTGTGCTAGTTAGATTAGCTAGCAATGCTAAGCAGGAGAACTCTTTTTATTCTGAGAGTTTGAAGGTCTTCCAAGTACATGCAATACTTTCCAGGGTTTGCCAGAAGAAGAAATGTATATTGCTTTAGTTCTGGCTGTGAGGTAATAGTCTGACAGCGTTTGGATGCAATAGGATGATTCACTATGGGGTGGAATGAAGATTTATTTATAAGGGCTTTACAGTATTTTCTGTTCATTTCTGATTCATAAGCTAGGAATAATCAAGGCATATTTTATTTTCTACTTTCTGTTTCTTATGTTAGCATTTTTCTGTTCACCTACCACTGATTTATTTTCATGTCTTCTCTCATCAACCTACAGAGAACTAGCTCATCACTGTGAATGGGAGGCTTACTAATGAGTATGGTGGGATAAGTGAACCTTAATATATTTTTGCTGTGTTTATTTCCTGTTTTTATTGAAATTCTGTATAAATTTCATGCATTAAACATTCTTACCGTAATGCTCAAAACCTTAGTTAAGGTCTTTGGAGAAGAATCAATAGTAAGTACAGCATAAATCATGTATCCTAAGAATTTTAATTGGAATACATGTGATTATTTAATAATCCTGTTCACCTCAACCCCTGTGAGAATGTATACGTATATACAAACAGTACGTTAAAAGTATTAGGAAATGGCTCATCATTAAAACCCTCTTTCTAACATCCATACTCACACAGACTTGAAGCTTCCCTATGCACTTGGTCTGAGAATTTGCAACAGGAAATAAAATAAAGATGAAAGAGAGAGCTGAGATCTTGAAGGAGAATTAGGCACCAGAAATTATGGTGTTCTTGTTCCAGCTCTTACACTGACTCTGATACTTCCATTTCTGTAGCATTTGCCATCTCTGGATCTCAAAGTGGATTATAAAGAATAGTGGTTTAAACCTTCCTGCACCTCTAGGAGATAGGTAAGCAATATTATTCCCATTTTACAGATGGAGAAATTGTGATGCAGAGAGGCTTAGTGTATATACTTGGAGTTTATTTATGGACACACACTCACTTACACACACAGCACCAGAATTAGTTGTCAGAACTTTTATTGCCCTGTTTTAAAGTACTTCCATCCTCCTTTCCATTTAACCTCTCTGACTTATATTCCCCATCTGTAAAAAGACGGAAACTGGTACAGACGTGGAGAGATTTCCCTGCACATAGATCTCTGTGCAAATACAGAGGAAAAAAAAAAAAACAGACAAATAAGCAAAAAAAAACCAAACAACACCTTGGAGGACAAAACTACTTTTGAAATCCACAGTATTTTGTATGTTGGCAGAGGATATCTGAGGATTTGGGACAAGGATTTTTGTAGGTGGAGAGAGTTGCATGTGTTCTGCACCCTGACTCATAATATTTAGTTATTACTATCAAATGGCCTGATATAAACACATTAATAAAAGTTTAAAATAATAATTAAAAAAAAGTAGATTTTCATGGCAAAAGATTAGACAGGCAGCAGCTTGGATTCTGTATCATCTGAAAGAATATCTTTAACAAATGTTGTGTGCCTCAAGTGCCCGGCTAATAACACCAGTGCACTGTTAGACAGGAGTAGAAAGAAAGTAGTGCTGTGTGTCTGTATAGTTTTGTCTCATGAAAGTCCTGTGTATGTACTGCAGTATGAGTTTCTCATTGGCAGGCAGCAATCAAGACCTCTGTTCTTATGTATTTACAAGAGCATTAAAATTATTAATGAACTTCTGGAAAAAGTAATGAGGATCAAATATAGGTCTTGTTATTATTATTGGAATTACTGTTTCTTGTTATATTTAAAATATATTCTTATAGAGTTGTCTAGAAATTTGATTGGTCTGATCCTATACTATCTCAAAAGATCATGAAGATTCTGATCTCCTTAATCTTAACTACCAATTTAAAAAACTCTTCCTGGAGATTTAAAAAATCCTTCTGCATTCTGCTGCTAATTTTCTACAGAATGAAATTTCAAAACTGTAATAGATATTTTAATGTTAGTGTTAATAACAGATCTGGCAGGTGTATGTGCATTGAACAAGTAGCTTACAAATAAATGTTAACATTTTTCTGTATGCATCCCATGGGATAGGTAGGCTAGATCAAACAAACAGTGCCCATGTTGACTTTTTTCTGTGAGTGAAGTCATTGTGATTCAGTGATAAACCTCATATGCTTATTAGTGCCGTGTATCTATAGGTAATAAATATGGCTCATGTGTATATTTGTTAAATGGAATGGAGTCTGGATCTGTTTGTTACATGCAGGCATGTATATATGGATGGCTTAGTTCAAGCTAAGTTTCCTTTTATTTTAGTTGTAACACTCCACAGGAATACACAGAATTTCAGGTAGAGAATTTAGTTGATTTGAAGCTAAGGTAAAAGCTGATTTTAACATTTCAGCTTTACTAAACAATAACAACAATGAAGACTATGGTAGTAATGGTACTAATAATGCTTCAGCAACTGAGCCAGTTCCTTGTCTCAACTTTGCGTGCAACTGAGATCAGAATTTAACCCAGGGTCTTTCTGAGTGCTATACAAATCATTTGTTACCTTTGCTCCCAATTACAGTTAAAATAAGCAGTGTCTTGAGATAATGTAGCCAGCACAGCTGGTGGAGTAGGATATGGGTTTGCTAATGCATTGACCTTTTTCATTTGTGTAACACGAGTTAATTTCCAGTCTAACAGTAAATGCTGAAATTTTAATTGTAGCACTAATGTACCATTTTTTCATCTCTCTGTCAAACCAGACTGAAGGGTCATTTGGTGATGAGGATAATGGTTCACTTTGAAAGGAAGGAAAACCAGCTTCTGAATCTGGGGGATTCTAGATCTTGCTTCAAATAACAAGACGAACTAGGAAAAAATAGGCTTGGAAATTCCTGTAATATTGAACCTACAAGTCTGACTATTTGCCTTGTTCTTGTACTGTTTCTATAGAGGCACACTGGAATACTTGCCATGATGTGTTAGACAGAATAATAAAACAACATGAGAAGTTTGGTTTTCAGACTATCAAGCCTCAAAAAGACTTTTCTGTGAAAAAATGAATCGACATTAAACTGTTTGCTACAATGGGAATTTTAAGCAACAGTTTGTGACAAGTTTTGATTATCTCTCTACACTTTAAGAAATTCTAGACCTAAGAACTGTTGGGGACTGATTTTTTCCTTTTTCTCTCAGAAGTGTCTTTTTTTCTTTCCTGCAGCACGGAAAAGGATATGCTAGTCACTTCTACAGGACTTACCTGAAGCAGCATGATTTGCACAAAAGTCGACCAACAAAAAGCATCAACTTTCAACTTCATTATCTTGGCCATCCAGTTCTGTCTAACTGAAGGATTTGTGTGCTGTTGGAGACATCATGGCCAACAATAGGACCTAATTGCTCTCAGCAGGCCTGAGAAATGAGTTGAAATGTGTAGAACTGTAGAAACTTCAGAGGCAACTGATCTTGCCTCTCTGATCAGTGTGTGCCTGTTTACAGCACTATATATCTTTCTCTCTCCAAAATGTCACTGAGCCCTTTAGATGTTTATAATCACCACAAGAAGCCAATCGTACAGATAAAAGAAATGTGCATTATAAATGCAATATCACTGTTTTAAACTTGACTGTTTTATATTATTTTTGTGTGATCAAGTGTTCCCCAAACTATTCCAACTTTACAAGAGAGATTGTGATCATGTTCTTTTCACCAGTGGGTCACAAACAATGTTGTTAATCTGAAGACCCACCAAATTATCGAAGACATTCTGTAGTTTATACACCGTGTTGCAAAGTGTTTACTGTACTATTTCAAAGCTTCTAAATAAATATAAAATATATATATATTATATTATATATAATTTTGAGAAAAATGTGGTACAACTTAGTTGATTTTTAAATGGATTCATACAGTCTACACCATACACTAAAATGAGAAGGTAATTCAGGGTTCCTAAGCTATCCTTGCTAAAAACAAATATAAAATAAACCTTTAATAGTACTTCCCCAATATTCGTATCTTGGTCAATCCTGTTTTTCTTGTTTAAAAAAAAAAAGGAAAAAAAAAAAAAAAAAAAAAAAAAGAGCTGTAAGCAACAACAACATTTTGTCTAGAAGTTGTAATGAATTTTCAATGCCAAAGATGCAGCTGTCAATATTACCAGAATGAGCGCTATGTACTATCAGAGGTATAATTCACTCTCCATTATTTTGATGGTATTTCTATGCTTTTTAATTTGGAATCATAAAACCTTTTATAAGGCTCTATAAGCTCACCTATATCTGTTGTTGAAAAGAACACTGAGTGTCTGTACATTTTGCAATGTAAGATATATGTAAGTGAAGTATTTTAAGAAAATCATCCCAAACTCATAAATATGCATACGTACATTCACACACACACAAACACACGCACATCTCTCTGACATACTTTTGTGAAGCTATACAAATATATTGCCTAAAAATATTTCTCTTGTGGCTAGGAATAGTTATTGATAGAATTCAAACTACAAAGGCAAAGTATATGCCAAAATATCGACTCTTTTATCACAACGGATGTTTGAAATTAGGAACACGGCACATTTTCATCTGACCCTTCTCCCATAGGAGTTTAAAAGGGGCTGATTACCATCTCAGCTGGGAAAAGGATCAAGCCCTTTCATATAATCTTTATGTTCTGTAATAATTGTATGGTTGGAAATGGTATATTAGAGCAATTTTTTCTATGAAATAATGAAAACAGTAAACTTTTAAAGGTAAATTCATCTCCATGGAGCTTAAGTACCATTTACTAAATGTAAAAATGTAGTAAAGTGCTTTTCTTCTTTTTTTTTTCCTTCTTTTTGTATTGGGTTGTTGTTTTTTTTTCCTCCCCACTGTATCTTAATATCTGTCAAGTACTGAAAAGAAATGATAGAACACTGTGTTATCAAGCAACGTCTACCCAAATTTGAACAAATACCTGGGGACGGTCCAATATTAAGACAAGAGAAAACCTTTCATTGATTGCAGCTGAATTTGGATCATGCTGTTATACAGGAATTCTGGTACCCCCACTAGAGCTACCACAGGAGGAATGCGTGAGAAGCTGAATTTAGCCACTGCTATGTGCTTATTAAGTCTGGTTTTCTTCCCTCTGTCATTATTTTTGTTTATGATGACAGTTTCTAGAAGACAGATAATTCACCCAAATGGAAACCATCCTGTTGAGGATTCAAACAAGATTGCTGATCAGTTCCTGGCTGCTGGACTGAGCTCTGAAGTTCATTTAACTACTCTGAACAAACACTATTAAACACTTTTAATGGATATTTCTAGCAGATCTGTATCACTCAAATATATTTCGGGGATCCTTTTAAAAATATGTACAAAACACAATCAGAAGGGAGTGAAAACAGTGGTTACTGATTTGAACAAACACCAGTCATGGAATGTTCCTCTAGCTGTAGACAGTGGGACTTACAGTCACTGATACGCCTTTTTAGTTTTGTGAAGAACAACAATGAAATTTGTGACATCACTTTCACTCAAAGGATTATGTTAAATGGTTGTTTCTGCTTTTAAAGGCCTCCAAGAAATTTGTTTTTCTTTGTTTCCAAGTACCTCATTAATATTAGATGTAAAGTAAGTTTGTTTTCAGGTTTTGGGAAGAAAAATATTTTTTCTTTCTTTTTCAGATACAGTGAAGTATTTTTATTTAATAAAGCTATCTTCACAATTTGCATGCATTTTTTTTTTTTTTTTCCTGAAAACTTAACCATATCATATCATGTCATTCCTTTCCATAACGGAATGTTTTCAGTGAACTGTGTATTTGATACACACCTCTTTTCTCTCTCTCTTTTTTTTTTTTTTTTTTAGATTAATGTTAAATAATACAGATAGTGATCCATGTATGCACAGAAATCCTTCTAAGTTCATAGGGAGAGTCCCAGAAGGAATTGTGATAGGATGCGAGGCTCCCGAGGAACAGAATGTTTTTAACTACTACATCCTGGGCTCCCAAAATATTTAAACACTTCTGAGGATTTCCCTAGTTCACTGTGAATTTCAGTATGCTAATGTTTGATGACATGAGGTTTAGGTCACATTAAATAACAGTACCTATCTGTTATGACCCAAAAGAAGTACTGAGAAGTGCATTTGGCCGTACAGAGGTTCAATCCCTTCCCTGTTTCTATGTTGTAGTGGGGAAGATACCTGTTGCATCCAGCCACCTCCCATTGAAATTGAATTGTTCAGCATCTCCATGTATCTCACCATGCTACTAGGTGCCTATCTGCAGTGATAGGTATGTAAATGCCTTTAAACATTAGCTCTTTGTATTTGCCTCTTCCTTTAAGTGTATGTGCTACTAATGTCTAAGGACTCTGATTTGCATATTGGGCAAAAAATAAAATGAAGTAGTTGGAAAATATTTAGGATGCATATTAAGGAGAAGTATCTGCATCCGTAAGCTGGTGTAGGGAAGGTTCTGATACCTCCTTCTTTGAAGATTTTCAAAAGTTCAAAAAATACCTGTCAGGGATGATACAAGTGTACTTAAACTTGCCTCAGAGAAATAGCAGGGACTAGTCTCTCAGTCCTGTTCTGTAATTTTCATCGTAAGGCATCCTGAGCTTCAGAAGATGTTATCTGTACACAGCTGTAGGAGTAAAGATGTTCTATCCTTCAATTAGGTATCAGAAGCAATATTTAATGTTTAAATTCACATAAAAACTGCGAGCAGTAGAACAAGCTGTCTTTGTGAAGAATTTTCTTTAGAGTAAATGAAAGTTCCAGCACAAGACAGTGTCTTACAGAGAATAACAAAATGAAACCAGATGTGTAATTTATTTATTTATTTTTTAATTCCTGGTTTAGATGTGTAGCAATGGATATCTAAGCGACTTGCCTATTAAATTTCTTTCGTTTCTTCCAGACTGACTGTTGCAAAACTGAAAAATACTAAAATGTTTCACTACTTGAAACAGAATTACCATTATTTCATGCAGGTTTTAATTAATCTGCCCACTGAGAAGGGAGAAAAAAAAGAAGTATTTCCATTAAATAGTCTCAACTGATTTGAACAAGGTGTAGTAACTTTTCAACATTATTGTTGCAAAACTAAGTGGAATGTCAGTGCACAGATATATATTATTTGTAAAGATTATGCTTCATGCATTATAGTCACTATATATGTGTGTGTTGGGGGGGTATGTGTGTATATAACTATAGTTCAAAATCTGGTAAGTTGCCTCTGGATTTTTTTCTTGCCGGAGTATGCTCCTATCAGTAAATTCAAAGAGAAGGGTAGAAACACATTTATGGTACTAGAAAATTAGACTTGTTCTTTAGTGTAGAATGGAGTTTTGTATTCAACATTTGAATTCAGCCCCTTCCTCATGCGTCACACCCACAATCAAACACACATTTCATTGTTTGACTTGAAAACTTTTACCTGCTCACAGCAGACCTTTTTTCTTCTTTTTTTCAAGTGCTATCATTCCTCAGGGTAAAAGGTGGATAAATAGATAGTCTTCCTAGGCTGATAAATTGTCATTGCAATTTTGCAAGGCTGTTAAATATTTATATGTCTTATGTGAAGAAAGAAAGCTGATCATATCCTGCCATTGTTCCTTGTTCAAGTCGTAAGTTGTTTGGCACTGGGACTTTTTAATTAGAATTTATACAAAGGTGTAGGGGCCAAAGTAAATAAGCATCACTCATATACAATTAGACATAGCAATTTGATTGCAAAACGTTGGTACCAGATGTCTATGAAGAACAGACAAGTTATTTTATTTGAAGCAAAGTGAAAGGCAGCCAGTAAGACTCTATTATGTTATGCTAAGAAAAATTCAGAAACAGAGAGTTGAAACCATTGCACTGACCCCTACAATCAGAGCTCAGATTCATATTAAAGGTCTCCTTCATCATTTTTTTTTTCCCTCTGATCTGCTGATCTGTCTTGATATGAAATGGATACATATATATGAACAAATACAGCCATTAAAATCCATTGCTGAAGCATCTGTGTTTTTGTAGATATCCTCATATGTAAGAAATGAGCAAGAAATAACGTGGACAGCTTTCTTGAATTGAAATTGTTTTTGAATTTGAATTTGTTAATAAAGATCATGATATTGTATGTTGGCTGAGACATCAGGGAAAATGAAATCTATGTGGGTGTAGTTCTCCAGAAGGCTAATGCTTCATTTAGGAAGCATCCTGTCAAAAATGTGTAAATGTGAGTGCTGGAAATCTTGCTGAGTCAAGATGAAACACACTGTGCCAAAACTTTCTTGTTCTCTGTGTCAGCACTGATTAAAATGTCCTCTGGA